TCGAATTGCTATTTTTGCTAATTTCCATACGTCTGAATATTTCCACTCGCTTAATTACTGGTTAACACAATTGATAATACATTCGATATAGCTGGAAGAAAGCCCTCTTGATCATATAATTCGAGACTAAATCGAATCGTGCTGATTTTACGAATTCCACCCTTAGTTAGCAGCATAGCAACTGATTTAAGAACTACTAATGACACAAAAGGTGATTTTGCTGGCCGCTCAAACTTTCCTAATATACATAACGTTTGATGGTCTATCTGATGACGTTCTCAAAAAGAATGAAAAAAAGTGGAACATGATCAAATTCTAAAAATGCGAATAGATTCTATGAGGATTCTCCATTAAGTTTAAACCATGAGTAAATATTTGGTTTGGTTTTCAAATCAACTGAGATATGGCCTATAGTATCGGGTGTGGGGTGTGGGCGTGGGCGTGGACAACAATATCACACCCACACCCACACCCACACCCATCCACACCCACACCCACCCACCCACACCCAGTTTTTGCATATACAGGATGGGCCGGTTATGTGAAGCACAACATGTAAGCCTAAAAAGCAATGCTCACTTCAGCTAGGACTAATGAGTCAATCAAACAACGAATCCGTTTTTTTACCAGCATTCAATCATTTCTTTCTATATCGAAGGATAGGAATAGTCATTGTAAGGGTATGAGTATACGTCTAAGGTTAGTCTATCTTATCATAAAACTAGATTTGTAGAAATCAAGTCAAACGGTGGGAAAGCCCATCGACAAAGAAATTGTTGATAAATCGGTAATTATACGGAGACCATTCCTTTTATCAGCTTATCAAAATATTTTAAAATGAAAAACTATCTGAAACGAATGATTGGCCCATAGGCTTTATTGTGTGAAAAAATAATTTCGTTTGAATCAGAAATGGAATAGAAAAAAAGTGATTACTGGGCCGAAAATAGGTCGAAGAATTGGTCATAATGTATTTTATAGACGCTACGAAGAGTTTTAATCTGATTGAGGTAGAATCTTTACCGATTATTCTCCCGTGTTTGATGTATCGCTGGTTATAGCGCTGTGTTGCAATAGTGCACACAGGCCGAGTGAGAGGTATCCAGAAAAACCAGGTTTCTGCCTCGAAATCGCTAGTTTTGCGAATATGAGGACATTTTAACGCAAAACCAAGGTGATATTCGAAATCAGCTCGTCAAGCTGCATCGAATCACATATGACAGTAAGTGCTTCTGAGAAAGAAGGGTGTGGGTGTGGGTGAGTGTGGTGTAGGTGTGACTGTTGTGAATCTCTACCCACACCCACATCCTAACAAAAATTGCACGTATAATATAAACTGTTCATTGCAAATTGTGGAATTTTTCACGCTGCATCTTGTGGTATATTTTGATTTTTTAATCAAACCTATTTAAGAATAAAAATATGAAATGCAAAGTTCTTCTATTTATAATCGGTAACTAGTTAGCGGGCTGCGTGTCACTACTATAAAAGAAATGACAGATTATAGCAAAGTACAAAGCTTAGAAATATGAGATTGTGCAAATAATCCTAAATATGTCTTAGCATTATAATGGAATACATGAACTCAAAATGAGGTTTTTAGAAGAGTCAGACAAAAAGAATTTTGGAGTGCCCCATGTCGTTGATCAACAGCAGATTAAAAGAATCGTTTGATAGATGTAGCAGTGCGTGCAACAAAGCAATCTGAAGAATGAACAGCATGTCTTGTTCTTTAGTTTTTATTGATCTTTCTCTACAGACTTTTGTTTCATTTAACTAAGTTTTCATTTATCTCTTGCTTATGAGAAGAACACTTTACAAACTCTCGTTGCTAAAGGACTCTATTATTTGATCTCGTAGTTCTAGTCATATTGGAATGATTTATTCGGGAATTGGATGCATTGGTTTTTCACCTCTTAACACTCGCAAGGTATATTCGATAGCCTTTTCTCTCAAAGATCGTTCTGATTCCACTGAATACCAAGCGGCATGAGGCGTGAGAAGTACATTGTCAAGTTGAATCAACTCTTCGTCGATCGAGGGCTCATCTTCCATGACATCTAATGCCGCATATGAAATTTGCCCATTTTTCAATGCTGCAATTAGTGCTTTGGTATCGATAATTCCACCTCGACTGACATTGATTATAACTGGATGACGTTTCATTTGAGCAATTGTCTCTGCTGAAATCAGATGATGATTTGTGCTGGAATAGGGAATGTGCAATGAAATAATATCAGACTGTTCAAAAATTTCTTCCATTGTGTTCGTCAATGGATCTTTCGGATTATGAGTTAAAATTTGTTTAACGAAGGGCGGCATCTTATTCGCAAAGCATGTTCCTATCCATCCACAATCGATAATGCCCAAGATCATTGTATTCAAGTTTCGTAACTTTCCAGCTGTTTTGTAACTCCATTTGTACGTGTCCACGATCGATTTATGAAAAGTCAAAAGGCGACGTTGTGCAGCAAAAACTAGTGCCGCTGCATGATCGGCGACAGTATCCGTTCCGTAGTCTGGTACATGACAAACTTCAATGTTTTGCTGACGAAAAATCTTCGCATCGATCATTTCATAACCAGCGCCATATTTAATGATGACTTTGACAGAAAATGGCATTTGATCGATAGCTTGTGCAGTGGTCGGAAGACTAACGAGGGAACCTTTTCAACTGTCCAATCGCTTTTGAGTTCGAACTCAGTGTGAAAGATAGACCCCAGTGAGGTATGAAAAGGCCCAAAAGGATAAGTGCCCATAGGCCTTCTGTCCAGAGTTATAGGCATTTTACTGGATTTTTAGCCTATGGCACAGTATATACCAAAAAATCGAATGACAATATTTCGAGCTGAGATTTTGTCCAAAGATAGGTCTATGTACCAATAGAATGCCCTGAAAATTTCAGCTCAAAAGAATGTTTCAATCTCGAGATTTTGAACACCCAAAAGCCAAAAAATTCTAGCATCATTCGCGGGATATGCGCGGTTTTTGGGAGTTTAATATCCCGAGATTGAAACATTCTTTTGAGCTGAAATTTTCAGGGCATTCTATTGGTACATAGACCTATCTTTGGACAAAATCTCAGCTCGAAATATTGTCATCCGATTTTTTGGTATATACTGTGCCATAGGCTAAAAATCCGGTAAAATGCCTATAACTCTGGACAGAAGGCCTATGGGCACTAATCCTTTTGGGGCTTTTCATACCTCACTGGGGTCTATCTTTCACACTGAGTTCGAACTCAAAAGCGATTGGACAGTTGAAAAGGTTCCCTCGTAAGACCTAGAATGGCGACAGTAGTCGATGATAAACATGCTAATAGTTCATCTTTAGAGTTATTCACGATCACTAGTTCGTACGGTGTTGATTCCAGAAGTTCTTTTTCAATGTCGAAATTCTCGAAGAGATTTTCAATGATAATTTGCAATTTTGTTGGTCGTAGTGCCATCTAGAACAGTCAAGCTATTAAGATCGATATTTAGGTATCTCATCTTTTTCTACTACATAAAAACAGTACGAAATTGTGTTTAATTGCTATTGATGTTGCATTGTTAAATCCTTATCTTTACATGTGGAGGGTGTGGGTATGGGTGTGTGGGTGTGGATGTGTGGGTGTGGGTGTGTGGGTGTGGGTATGGAGTGTGGGTGTGGATGTGTGGGTGTGGGGTGTGGGTGTGGGGTGTGGGTGTGGGCGTGGGGTGTGGGTGTGGATGTGTGGGTGTGGGGTGTGGGTGTGAGTGTGTGGGTGTGGGTGTGAGTGTGTGGGTGTGGGTGTGAGTGTGTGGGTGTGGGTGTGGGTGTGGGGTGTGGGCGTGACTGTAGCTATGGATGTGGAGAAACAAGAAGAAGCATAAATCCACACCCACACAACACCCTCACACCCACTCTTACACCCACACCCAACATGCATTATTATTACTCATATTTTGTAAAAATTAAAATTTTATTGTTAAGTGTGTTAGGATTCTTTTCCTTTTATTTTACCAAAAGTCAGAAAAAGAACATAAAGATTCACAAAAAAGAAAAAAAAAGAAAAAGGGGACAACAAAGTATAGGGGAAAAAACAAGAGAAGAGAGAGAATTAATAACAATAATAAAAAAACAAGCAAGCGAAATGACTAGATAATAATACTAGAAAAAGAAGGGCAATAAATACGAAATATAAATATTGGTTCCTAACAAAGTGTTTTTAAACATGGTAAAATTGGTCCTAGGGTGCTGACTTAACATTAGTATTGCATTAATAAATACTAATTTTAATAGTTTTTTAATCTTGACACCAAAGCATTAAATACATTTTTTAGTCTAACGCAAAAGAATTAGCATTTCCTGAACACGACTGCTAGGCCAGCACCCCTAATTGGTCCATATTCAAACAGAGCACAAGAATTCTCAAATGCATCTTAAATTAAAGAACAAAGAAAATTAAGTTTTCAAATAATTTTTTTTAAATACTATCATTTGTTCTTTATCTTTATTTGAATTTTCTGTACATACTTCAATTATAATAATTACAAAAATCAAAGAATACCTTTTGACAACCGCATACACTAAAAAAAAGTAAATGAATAGAAATCACTTTTCAATTCTATCCATATATATGAAAAGTTTATAATGATGATACAGATCTATTCGAACATGTTCATATTATAATGTCAATAATAAAACCTGAATGTTCTTATAATAAATAACAAGGAGAAACGATTGCATAACGAAGTCGTCGGCATGTATCTTCCAAAACAACGTACAAAAGTTTTTATTACTGAATATTGTACGTGTAAAATAGCTGGCAATATAAAAATATTAACAAATAAACAAAATTATTCATTGTTTTACTCCAAAAAAAGATCCAGGAGTTACATTTTTACAGACACAATGAATCATTTTTCATTAAACAGAAAAAGAGCTAGAATGTGAAGAAGCCATTTGTGAATTATTTCGAAGAAAAAAAAGACGAGAAATAAAAGATTTTGTTCTGGATTGAATTAATATGATTCTGTCTAGTCATACAAGTCGTCATCATCACAATTTTCACGATAACCACCACTTCCTACGATAAGAAAAAGAAATTAAAGCTTAGAAAAAATTATTTTGTTTATATTTACTATCAGTTCCTTGTAATGTTTGTTGGTCAGAAAAACGAAATTGTGTACCAAAATATCGTGATTGTTGTAATGTTTGAGTAAACATTTCATATTTACGTATATCATTATCACTCACTGATCGTCGTGCGAATTTCAGTGCTTCTTCAAAATGATCGCGACGAATTTCGGGTACAAGATCTTCTGGTTCATTCGAATCTGTTGCTGTTTGTCCATTACGTTGTTGTTCTTTTCCTTCATTAATTTCTTTTTCAATCAATTCACGTATAGCTAGTTTACATGCACGATGACATATTTCGGTTAAATCAGCACCACTAAAACCATTGGTAATAGTACTCAAATGTTGCATATCAACATCTTTGGCTACCGGTGATTTTCTTAAAGTGATTTTAAGAATATCCAAACGCGATTTTTCATCAGGTAATGGGATATAAATTAAATGATCAAAACGACCTGGAACATGATTGATGTATTTTCAGAGAAAACAAAATCTTTAATTTTCATACCAGGTCGAAGAAAAGCTGAATCGATGATATCCGGTCGATTGGTTGCACCAATAATAAAAACATTCTTTTTTGCACTCATACCATCTATTTCAGTTAAAATTTGATTGATAACTCGATCGACAGCACCACCGTCACCAAAACTACCATTTCGAGATTTAGCTATAAACAAAAGCAGAAAAGTCTTATATTCTTATTCATTCACTTTCTTTTTATTTTACCTATTGAATCCAAGTCATCAAGGAAGAGTACACATGGTGCAACTTGACGAGTTTTACCGAAAGTATCACGTACTTTAGCTTCCGATCCACTAAACCACATTGTTAATAATTCTGGACCTGAAATCCGAATAAAATTCATTTGATATTCATTAGCTATAGCTTCTGCTAACAAAGTTTTACCTAAAATGTAAATACATCGATAGAAAACGTTTCATTGTCTTAGTAAAATAAAACCTACCACAACCAGGTGGTCCATAAAAGAGAACAGCACGTGTTGGTGTCATACCAAATTTGAGGATTTTTTCGGGATGTTCAACAGAATATTGTAGAACTTCTTGTATTTCTTGTTTAACATTCTCTAAACCACCGACATCATCATAATCAATTGCACTTAATGATACTTCTTCTTCTTCACGTTTGATTGGATCACCTTCACAATGTATAACAGTATCAGGTGCAACAATACAATATGGACTTGGATCAGTTTCAATTACTTTGAATTCTACAGTCCGCATAGTGGCACGGGCAACAAAAACATCACCTGTCTTTATTGGACGATAAGCTCCAACAAAATAAGGTTTTAAATAGACTTCCAATAAATTTCCTGCTATTCCTTGAACGCTATCATCAATAGGTAAAACATATATACGTTTACCACGTTTAATATCTTGACAAACTTCAATGGAAACAATATCACTGGAACAAACACGCAAATTATTTTGTACAACACGATTCATTCGGATGTGATCATTTGGACAAGTATCATCAGCAAGGACAATACAAATTGTTTCACAGCGCTTTTTACCTTTCAATAGAACGGCATCACCATCAAATAATTCTAATTCATCCATTTTTTGCTGTGATAATGCAATCACACTGTTATCGTCATTAGTAGGATCATCAACCATTAGACGATTTGGACGTTCTTTAGGATTTAAAGTTGCTGTTACATATTTATCTCCTTTAGTTGAATGAACAGCTTTTGTCATTGGTTTTGTTTTACAATGGAAAAGAACTTTATATTAGATCTATAAATAGAAAGTCGATGCAGAAATAAACAACAATGGAGAAACTATTGTAGAAAGAATTTTTCTAAATAAGATTTTCAAAGAATTCATTGAACAAGTCGAGATTGTGGAACCTGATGACAACACTTGAGCAGGTAGAACTTTTGTTATTCGTGATGAAGAAGAAAACTGACGATTCTAAATAGAGAAAAGCAATTATCTTTGAGTAAGAGAATTTTCAATTCCTCTCGAACTCTCTAAAGTAGTTTTTGGTAATTTTCAAGTTTATTTAAACAGTATCTTATAGCGAACCTATCTTATTGAAATGACTATATGCAAAACTATAGTCGACGCTAGACTTAAATGGACTTTACTCTTTTTCGAATAACTCAAGAACGCAATCAGTTAGAGATCTGCAGTTTTCACCAATCGAAGGAAGAGACAAGAAGACGTCTTTCTCTCTGATCTTATATAAGATGAAATCATTTTAAAATCAGTCATTTCTGCAAAACATTGCAAAAAATGCATGAAAAACGATCTGTCATTCCGATAAAATTTTGCTTTTAACATGTGATTTTAATAGAAGGACTTCGGATCTATAGTTCAAGATATAATTCAAATGATCGTCCTACTCCATCTTAAGGTTGGGCAATTAACATCGTCTTTTTACTCGCACAAAAACTATGGATTTCTTTTAGTTTCAAGTAAGTTTTCTTACTTTTTGTCAAAGTGATGGACAGTTTTTATACATTTTTTTGCAATATATTGCAGAAATGATCGATTTTAATTTGATTTTGTCTAGTACAATATCAGAGAAAACGATGTTTCCTTGTCTTTTCTTTCGATTGGTGAAAAAAGCAGGTCTCTAGCTGATTGTGTTCATGAGTTATTCGAAAAATAGTGAAGTCCATTTAAGTCTGGTGTCGACTACAGTTATAACTGAATACTAAAAAAGTTAGTCTCAATTGTAAATCTCTGCTTGTCATAAAACTTCTTGTTCATTTGAACCTCTAATACTCGAATGATTAGTTCAGATTTCTATTCCAACGCATTAATACAAAGAAAAACGTGCGGTAAATGACTGAAAAATATTGAAACGAAACAACCTAATTCTTATTATATAGTAAATGTTGAACCCAATGCTGCGAAAATAATAGGTATTTCCGGTATGCGTCATTCAGCCGTAGTGTAGTATATCACAAGTAACACATTTTTAATAAGACATGTTACTGTGGGTGTCCTTTCTTCCTTTTTGTTGGCCCATAAATTCGGTTTTTATTTCCTCGAAAACATGACTCCTCAGGTTTTACATTCCAGGATATGACGAAAGCTTTAGCTTGATTGCCTTTTCTCGTAGTCAGAACTAAATATAGTCAAAAAAGGAGGGTGAGAACCCTTACGGTTTTTTTCGCACACTGTACAAATTTGTTGGACACATGTATTTTTCCGGTATGATGAGTTCTCAAATGAATGTGAATAAAAGGAGACTGTTTCAATATTCAGTGATGCAGAAGGAGGAATATTTATGACTCATTCAAGGCGAAAAGTCACAACATCCATAGATTGAATAATCTTAAAAATTCATTCTTACTAAGGAAAGTGCATGTGGATCAGAAGTTTTAATTTTTTTTGAATCAAGATTCTATTGTTTTTTCGCTAATATTTTCATCTATAAATATATTGAATCAATTCAAAATGGTTCAATTCTATACATTTATCCGATCCGAGGAATCGACGATAACATCACTTTTTCTAATTATTTCTGAATTCTCGTTTGTTGTTGGTTGTTTACTCTCAATCACAAGCCAAGAGGTAAAAAATTTTTCGTAATTTATTTCGAATTAGTGGAAAAAAGAACATTTCACCTTGTATTGAAATATCTAAAGGTAATTTTGTTATTGAAATTGTAATAACTTGATTAAGCTGAACTTCCCGATGACTTAAACCGGTAGTGTTGTTGTTGTTTTAAATGGTAAATTACCAGTTGTTAAACAAGATTCAAATATTGGTTATGAAAAGCAAAATATTGTCTAGTTCTACTTTTCGATAATTGACATCTAGAAATTGAATAGATGCATATGGAATATGCACAATAAAATTTCCAGCTTGACCGGTTGTTGTCATTTGGAGAAAAAAAAACGAATTATTTGACTGCAACATCGGACGAAGATACGACTTTATATTCTCTTATTTTGATAAAATTTGCCTCCTTTATATATGGTTAAATGACTCAGTATGTTGCACCAGTGACATAACAACGATGCAAGACGAAAAATAAATGTATGCAGCAAAACTGAGTTTGGATGTGATTCATGTTTTATTTTATATTCAACCTATCAGCTACTGACAACACTTGTGGAAGAAAGAAAAATAAATGAGAGAAAGAATTTCTGTATTTAGTCGAGAAATTTCTTTATTATTTGATAAAGCGTTTTTCCAACTTAAAAATTCTATTTAGCGTAAAAAGAATTATAAAAACCGAATAAAATTTATTGATTAAATAAACGAATGACGATATTTTATACTAATATAAAAATGTAAAGCGTTATGGTGAATATGCATGGAGAGTATGTGTTCATTTTATCAAACATCTATATATGATATTACAGTTCTACTAGATACAATTTTCAAAATAATGTCAAAGAAAATTGAGTTTTACAATGAATTATAATGTAAAAGAGTAAAAAATTTTAGTTATTTATATTAACAAGAAAAAAAACTGATTATATGAGAATATCACTCTAGGAGGTGACAGGTTTTAACTCTGTATGTGCGGAGCCCTTTAAATAGTATAAGCAACATCTATGTTTCGATACTCGAAGTACCTACCGTTTATCCCAAGGAATTTGAGTACGATGCAATCGGATTGATTGTTCTCTCATTTCGCACGGTATACTGATCATTATCAGAATGCATTGAAGTGATATTTCTCAAGCAGTTGATACCATGATTGTTTTTCATGAATAGGGAACAGTCTGATATTAAAGATTAAGTGAACATCTGTTGAGACAGATCACATGAAAAGTGGAGAATCAACAACATTTTATGGAATAATTCTTTCATGCCGCGATGCTGTTCTTAAGCGGAACCATTTGAGAAAGCAAAATAGAGAATGGCATTGATGCGTACGATAAATGTATCAATGCAACAGAGACACTATTCATACTATCAATATTAAGAAGTTTTTTCTTTTGATGGCATTGAGTATATTCGAACGTGAAATAGGTGATGATCAAAACATGAAGAATGAAACGAATCGCATTTCTAGAGAGGATACATAAATACACAACTTAAAACCTATAGTTGTTTCTTTCTTCTAATTGCCGACTCGACTGAGAACACGGTCAATATAGTAATGTTTACTATAAAACTAAAAGACAGTTGATGTTCACTTTATCTATTAGTGGTAGGTAAAATTTCAAAATGAGCTTGTTATCTGAAAGACATTGCTTTTTTCCAAGTAGAAACAAAACTTTCATAAACATATCTAGTTGTTTACATTATGAAAGTAATGATCGAACGCTTGAATCCAACACTAAAAAAAAACCTAAATTGAGAGTTTCCAACATCAGATGTGCGAAGAAGTGAATCATAAAAAATGATGACGTTTGATTTTTTTAATTGATTCATCATTTTGATACGCTCTGTCTACCTATCAAACAGAAAAAAAGTAACTCATTCTGATGTCAGATTCTTTTTAAAGTATCAACGACTATTTTTTGAATAACTTTTCAACGGTTCAAGTTATAGAGGTCGAGTTTTCACCGTTAGAAAAAGCAAGGCAGGGGACGTTGATCTGTATAAAATTCATTAGGTTTATAAGACTTTTGTATGATTGTTTGTAGTCAAATATCTTATCGGTTGTCTATTTTCATGAGTTTTCATAACAAATTATCATCTAATCAGACCAAAATGTAGCCCAAATCATCCTTTATTTGTGCTAAAATTTTCACATTTTAACATCAAAGCGTAAGGAAATAAGCTCAAGAATAAGACGCAATGATTTGAAAATTTTAGCACAAATACAGGATGATTTGGGCTACATTTTGGTCTAATTAGATGTTAATTTGTTATGAAAACTCATGAAAATAGACAACCGATAAGATATTTGACTACAAACAACCATACAAAAGTCTTATAAACCTAATGAATTTTATACAGATCAACGTCCTCTGCCTTGCTCTTTCTAACGGTGAAAATCCGACCTGTATAACTTGAACCGTTGAAAAGTTATTCAGAAAATATTCGTTGGTACTTTATCTCTTCTAGATATTATTGAAAATTGGCCTTCACAATTGACTATATCATCATCTGCATTAATTAAACGAAATCCATAGATTATGCTAGCTGTCTTCACCTCGGCGAATTGATATTATCATTATATATCTTTCTTCTGAAGATATATAACAGTTATAATTTGATCTTGTGATTTTTATAAACATACAGATTCATTTAGCATCTGATGATCTGCGTAGCTGCAGTGAAATCTATAGATTATGCTAGCTGTCCTCACCCTCACACGCTCACTCTCATCCTCATGTTTCAAGTGTTTTATGCTTTGTCAGCTCGCCATACTCTATCTAATCGTATACATGAACAAAAACAGAAAATAATTTTGCATTGATTTTCTAATTCCGCATCTTACTTTCTCTTTTTATTCTTACAGTTAATGGAAAATGCGAAGCTTTATTTCTTCAACAGGCGCATTGAATCATTAAAAATTTTATTACGTATTTCAGTCATATTTTGTAGAGAAAAGAAAAGAAAAAGAAAAAGAAAAAGAAGCATATCGGCAAGATTTTTCGATGCTTAGGTACCATTTTTTACTACTTTTAGAATCAATAGTTATTGAAGCATGTTGGCAAGATTCATTCTCGTTTAGACGTCTAATCAACGATGAGCAAGTATCGCAACTGGCCGTAATTGTATCATGTTGCGATTATTTTGCGGATTGATTGCTCGCCAGGGTCTTTTGAGCAGGT